TTCCCTCCTTTCCTTCCTTCCTTTCCTTCCTTCCTTCCCTTCCTTCCTTCCTTCCCTTCCTTCCTTTCCTTCCTTCCTTGTCCTTCCTTCCCTTCCTTCCTTCCTTCCTTTCCTTCCTTCCTTTCCTTCCTTCCTTCCTTCCCTTCCTTCCTTCCCTTCCTTCCTTTCCTTCCTTCCTTTCCTTCCTTCCTTTCCTTCCCTTCCTTCCTTCCCTTCCTTCCTTTCCTTTCTTCCTTTCCTTCCTTCCTTCCCTTCCTTTCCTTCCATCCTTCCTTTCCTTCCTTCCTTCCTTTCCTTCCATCCTTCCTTTCCTTCCATCGCTGCCCCACTTGCAACACGCTCCATTCTCTCATGCTTTTCCTCTCTCGCGCTCTCTCTCTTTTCCCCTTCTTCATATGCTGCTGCTGCTCCTGAGTTGTGTTAAGCACAAGCTTCCTTCCTTCATTCTTCATTCTTCATCACCGCCCCTGGCTGGCCACACGCAGCAGGGCTTGGTCAACACCCCAATTACTCACTCTTCCTCGGGGCTATTTTCACAAAGCTTGTGCAGGCAGTACTGCTGCTGACTTAGACAGGTAGAGAGAAGAAGATTGATGGATGGGTTTCTCGTGTGGGGTTTGGCTGGGTATGATGTGCTGATCAGTCTCTGAAGGGTTCGCGAGACAGTCAGGAGAAGCGGAGATTGTGGGTTCGGTTTGTGGGTTCGGTTTGAGGGTAGAGTTGGGCGTGTCGTGGAGGAGGAGGAGGTCTGTGATGCAATCTGGTGATGGTTGCGTGAAGGTGGAAGAGTAGGAGGAGGAGGTACGGGATGATGATGGGATTCTGATGATTGTGTTGGCTTCGTTACCAAGGTTTGGCACATGGTGGAGATTTAGTGGTTATTTTTCAAAAATTAAGAGAATTAGTCTAACTCTAAAGACAAATTGTTTTGTGTGATTCCGATTAGTTAGAAACAAAATTCGTAGATGTAGATGTTCTTGCTTGCTGCCTTGTCAGTGGTGTAATTAGTGGGGTTGAGGTTCGTGAGGTTCGTGAGATATGTTGAGTTCAGAGATTGGGTTAATTCACATGTGAGCTTGTGGGGAATTCAACATCGATGAGCGAAGGGCAGTGCTTTCTTTGTGCAATCTTGTATTGCAGCTTAGGGCATGCTAATCGAAGCATGTTTCGGTCCTTAGGGTTTTTGTAAAAATCGGAGAGTGGCATAGTTCTAGCGAATCTTTTGATCAATTGGTAGCTTTCTGCTCAGTTGTGCATGAGAAATCCGTTAGGATTATTGTCGGTGGTATGTCAATTTTTCAGTATGGAGCCAGTTTTGAAGTGGCAATTGAGGGTCTGAAGGCGTAGTTCTCCAATCCACTATGTTTTGGATGTTCTGCTCCTTGCTGTAGCATTTATCTGCCGGCTGGAGTATAAACAGGCTAATCATCTAAATCTCTTAATTATTGTTGTTGTTGCTGCTGTTATTTTTTTTTTTCCCTCCCTCTCTCTCTCTCTCTCTCTCTCTCTCCCGTATTGGTCTTAGACGAAGGCTGTCGTTTTTTAAATTTTCGTTTTATCTCCTCTTGTGCCCCTGGGTAGTTGGATTAAACTTTTTTTCATAGGGTCCAAATTTGAGTTTAGTTCTTGTGCTGTACTCACTTAGGTGCTCCAGGCAACAATCTTGATCTGTCTCTCTTCCATTCTCGTACTGTGGGAGATACTTTATCTGTCGAGTCATTGAGTGGAGAAACATGGAGTCTGAGGACGAAATGCAAGATGCCTGGGCTGGAACATCCGATGACGAATTTCAAAATGAAGAAGAAGAAGACGAGGATTCAGACGCTTTAGCTAGTGACGATGAAGATGACGAATCAGATTACGGCTTTGGCTTTAATGATTTCCAGCTTAGTACCCGGCGACCCCAGGTATTCTTCAAATTCCAATGGCAGATCTTGTAATGAAGGCTTTGCAGTGCTGATAGCGTTGTTTCTGGTTGTAAAAAAATGGAAGATGAAAAGTTGGAGTGATTCTTTCTGCTTTTGCGGTCTTCCTGAACATTGGCGGATGCTTGTGTTAATTGTGTTCTGGAGTCGATTTCTTATAGGCGCTTAATTGGGGTTCTTTCTTGTTCTAAGCTTCTTTGAAAGTAGTCAGGTCTTATCTAATGCATGCCAGTATAAATCCCGACACGTTGAAATGGACCTAAAGTTGTCGGTTCTGACGTCGTGTTGCAGACTATTTTCACCGTTCTTAGTGAACAAGATATACGACAGCGACAAGATGAAGCTGTAGCAACTATCACTAACTTCTTGTCTATATCACCTGCGGATGCCGGGGTGCTGCTTCGGCATTTTAAGTGGTAACACTCTCTCTTTTCTTGTTTTTGTTGTGTGGCTGGTTGGAACAACCATGACATGGATATGTGAGCGACCTAATTTTACTGTCTTCATAATCAGCACTCACCTTGGGTTACTCCTCCGTGATCTGCTCTTGTGCAGCATCGGCAATGAGCACATGCATGTCAGATGAAAGTTCGAACATAATGTATGTTTGCATTGTAGTTGTAGTAAAACGGTACCTCTCTTTGCTTCGTAATTGTCAGAGAGTAACAAGTCTTGTTGCTATATTATACTTGTTAATGAATAGGAGTGTGAGCAAAGTTAACGATGAGTGGTTCGCCGATGAGGAGCGAGTTCGTGCTAACGTTGGTTTGCTGGAGAAGCCGGCGACTAGCAAAAGGAAGAATGTAAAGGAGGTATTGCTGGATACTGGCTGTATTATTCCTTTGCGGCGTTTGGCTGTATTATTGGCTGTATTATTCCTTTGTATTATTTTCCTATCTCCCAGTTATTGCTTAATGTTTTCGAAAGGTTTGGTTTTAATGTGATGTTTTTGGCAGATGACGTGCCAGATATGTTTTGAAGTTCATCCCTTTGAGAAGATGAAGGAGCCTAGATGTGGTCATTATTTTTGTGAGATCTGTTGGACAGGTCAGGTATTGGTGCACCATTATGTAATAGTATGCACTCTTAGAATATTTGTGCCAAATGCTGGAGGGTTTCGTAAATTTTTGCATGATTGTTTTTCGTTTGTATTGTTTGTGTCTCTAGCTTTAATTACCTTGAATTTTGTAGCGAGAAATAGCGGCATACAGTTTAATAACTCATATTAGTGTCATCGTATTTTTTCTTTAGTTGGAGAGCTTTATATCTAGTAATGGCTTAAACAACTTGCAGTGTTAAATGCTAAGTAATATCGAACTGTTAATGGATAGAATCCTAGGAGCTTGATGGTTTCGGCTGCTTTAAGCACTTTTATCTGACATAGGATAGTGTTCTTCTCATCTGGATTGGGTTCAGGTTACATTCACACTGCCATTAATGACGGTCCCGGGTGTTTAACTTTGCGATGTGCGGATCCATCGTGTGGGGCAGCCATTGGTGAAGACATGGTGTTGGGCTTAGTTTCTAAAGAGGATCAACAAAAGTACATGCGATATCTTTTGAGATCTTATGTTGAGGACAATCGAAAGGTTAATATTTTAGTCCATCTTTTGTCTCGTTTGCTGCGTGCAGGTCTGTGATACGATTCAGTGGTAGTATATGTATTATGGCATAGAGGTTATACGGTTGTGATTTTTGCGAAGTAGTTGATACACAGATTACATTTACCTGGGACAAGCTTTTGACACATGAACTATTCCTTGATTTAATGACATCATCGCTTTTGCGCTGCGTCATTTTAATCTTGCGTCTTGCATGAAGGGCATTTTTATCTTCACTATATATTGTGCTGTATATTTTTGTTCATCTCTTATTAAATTGATTTCTGATTAGAGATCTGACATCGAGGTGTGTGAATTAGCAGGTGAAGTGGTGCCCTGCACCTGGCTGTGAATATGCAGTGGAATACCAAGCTGGCGTTGGTTCTTACGACCTCGTCTGCAAGTGTGGGTTTAGTTTCTGCTGGAACGTACGTATTTTTGACAATTTCTTTTGTTCTTTTTAAAGTCTTCTTTGAACCGTCGAAATATAACCTACATTTTACAGGAAAATACGTGACTCATCCTCGTTTTTTTTTTTTCAGTGTCGGGAAGAGGCACATCGGCCTGTGGATTGTGAGACAGTCAACAAGTGGATACTGAAGAATTGCGCCGAGTCGGAGAATATGAATTGGTACGTATTGGAAATATCCAGCTTTATGCACTTTGTTCTTTGTAATGTTTTCCGAAACAAGTTAAACTGCATAGAAATTGACAACTAGTGATAATGAACATGGAAACTTCAGTTTTGAGGTCGTCGAGGAATTTCTGAGCTGTTCGGATGGAACAACTTTTCAGTAGTTGACTAAGGAAGGCAGTCCGATGAAGTTCTCATTTTATCATTTGTTTCAATCATCTGAAGTCATTTTCATTTTCATTGTGCAGGATTCTGGCAAACAGCAAACCCTGCCCTAAATGTAAGAGACCGATTGAAAAAAACCAAGGCTGCATGCATATTACTTGCACACCACCTTGCAAATTTGAGTTTTGCTGGTAAGTTGTAAATATTATTCTTACTTTAGTTAAATTAAAGTTACTTAATTGGATTTAGTACTATTAATATGTGAAAGTCACCATGCTTATAAGGTCATCAACTCAGCTGCTGCAATTCATGTTGCCTCATTCTCAAGTGTAGCTTTTGAACCTTGACTTCTTTGGCAGGCTGTGTCTTGGAGCATGGACTGATCACGGTGAACGAACTGGAGGTTTCTATGCATGTAACCGTTATGAAACTGCCAAGCAAGAAGGCGTGGTAAGTGGACACTTCCTTATAATATACCTGAACTTCATCTCTTCAGGTTCATATGGGCTTTTGTTGTAGAGCTTCGATGAGTTGGTTTTATGTAATACTGGAGTATAGAGATATTAATAGTCACGTAAGCTAGGCGATAAATCGCAGAATTATTTATTAACCTGAGAGTGACAACAATTTAGATTTTCTCGTTACATTAAGACACATAGGGCAATTGCAACTTAAATTGGAGCGAACTTATCAGGAATTAACACTTCAAGTTCAAGCAAAGAGATTGTTGCTTTTGGCTCTATCGTCCCCGTTATATATCAGAGGTTGACGCTTATATAAATAAGTTGATAGTTTTAGTTTGTTTCTGCAGTACGATGAAGCAGAGCGGAGGAGGGAAATGGCTAAGAACTCTCTTGAACGCTACACACATTACTATGAACGTTGGGCTACAAATGAGTCTGTAAGTGCTGGATTGCGTTTGTGCATTTTTTCTTTTGTCATTCGGTAATGAATCTGCATGAACTGTTTAGGATTTTGACATCATCCTAACTTGAGGAGATGTGGTCTGCATTTGTTTATTCTTGACTATCGAGAGTTTGGTGGTGTTGTGCAGTCTAGGTCAAAGGCTCTTGCAGATCTTCAACTAATGCAGTCTGTGAAGGTTGACAAGTTGAGTGACATACAATGTCAACCTGTCTCGCAACTGAAATTTGTGACAGATGCATGGCTGCAGGTATGATAGTTTGTCTTGTTTTGACGTGATTGACAAAGCTTTTGGGAACTATCGAATTGTGTCACTGCTTCATATAAGTAGTCAATCTAAATGTTCATGCTTTCTTGTGCAGATTGTTGAGTGCCGACGTGTATTGAAATGGACATATGCTTATGGGTATTACTTGCCCGAGAACGAGCAAACAAAAAGGCAATTCTTTGAGTATTCACAAGGTGAGGCAGAAGCTGGCTTGGAGCGCCTCCATCAATGTGCAGAGAAGGAGTTGCAGACCTTCCTTGAGGGAGACAGTCCCAATAGCTCATTCAATGATTTCCGCACCAAACTTGCCGGCTTGACCAGGTGCTTATTACTAATATTGATTAGTCTTCTTCAACGACAAGAAGAATAGTGTACTTACGCTATTGTATATTGCTCTTGTTTATGGAAGACGTATTCATTGCTGGCTTATCATTGGTTTTTGTTTATCTTGGTTCAGTGTAACGAGGACTTACTTCGAGAACCTGGTTCGTGCGCTGGAGAGTAATCTTTCGGATGTTGACATTTCGAAAGGAGCCGTCAAGTCCAGCAACAGCTCAAAGGCTTCCGGCAGCTCCAAAGCGAGAGGTGGAAGACCCAAATCTGGAAGTACTAGAAGCGGGGGATCCAGTCGAAGTGGAGAGGAGATGGCTCACTGGTCTTGTGAGCATTGCACATATGTTAATACCACAGCCACTTCGTCCAATGTGTGCATCATTTGCGGCTATCCTCGTTCTTAATATGATGAACCTCCTTAGAGCTTCAACATCTCTTCATTTGATTTCCATCTTGACTCGCCTTTTGAGCTCTGTCACCTTTTATCATCTTCTGGGGTGATTCCACTTTGCTGTAATTGGAGTGCACAGCCGGACAGTCGGACCTTGTGGCTAGTCATATAATTTGATCAATAGGGATATTGGTGCAGCTAGTTTAATCCCTGCATTAGACTTCTGAGTGTGTCGAACACCGGAGTCTACTGCTCGGATTTTTTGTTATATAATACATTTAGCCAACAAGGTGATAGGGAAGGGTGTTGCTAATGTCTAGGCCTGTGTCTTAGCGGTGCACAATGTGCCAAATCCCTTCCTGCTGTATACGATATATGCAAAGACGGACACGTATCGTCTTGCATCTGTTTGCATCGTCATTGTGGTAAAGAAATGAGCTGGCCAATTGTTTCCTCATGGAGACAACGGTCCAAGAGTTTTACATCACTATATGTATTGTACCTGAGAATTGGATGTGTTTATTAGAGCTGTTGGTAGATTATTGAAGATCTGCAGCTTTATTTGCGCTATTTCTTGAAGCTGGTCATACTACGGATCCACCGAAGTTTCCTCCTCTTGACCAAAATATTTGAATGGATTTGTATAGTGTTTGCTTACAATTGATTGAATTGGACTATGTCAATGGTAGTGGTTGTACTTAACTATTGCTGGCGTCTTGCAGTTTGATACTAACTCTTAGTGAAGTGAAGGTGGCCCACAACAACCACGTTGAGGGTGGTTGCAATAGAAATGAGAAGCGGATATAAAAAGCCTACAAATGTTCATAAAAAGCCACAATTTACCCTCAACTTTTAGTATATTGTTTAGTAAAATCACAAAAATTTATGATATCTTTAAAATTGGAATGTTTTTCTGTTTTATTTCTTAGGACTCCTGAGGCTTTTCTTGGCAAATCACGCTGTTTAGGTATTTAATTAGTGATAGAGAATTGATTCTCTTTGGTGCTTTTTATTATTCATTACTAATTGTTTTTCAATGCATTTTAATGTTCATGTTATTTATCTATTTATTTCTTCAATATTAATTTCAAATATGAACCTTCTTTTGATGAAAATAAAGTTTCTTATAATTCTTATTAATAATGTTAAAATCTATAGCTATTACAACGTCATGCATGTCTCCCAATTTTGTGTTTAGCATATATGATAAGTTTACAAGCTATGACATCATATCATGAAACTTATTCTAATAATAATTTTGAAGCTTATTTAAGAATAATAACTAATTCTTGGTTACATTTAAAATTTATTTCATAACATTTTAACTTCATAGAATCTATTTAGTTTGAACGAAACTTATATCGAATACTTGTGTCCATTATAAAAATTATAAACAATATCAAAATAAGTATTTTGCAACAAAACAATATGCAAGGTTGGACGTACACATAAAATATGACCCCCAAACAATCAGTTAGAGAGTCACATGTAGGCACAAACAAAATCCTTGATGTACATAATTTAATTTTTTAGAAAAGAAAGCATGTTAGAGATTATGGTGCATATGATACATGATTATGTTAAGACATGTGAAATAAGGTCTAATTATTTGCCTTTCGTTTGTTTTGCTGATGTAAACTTAAGATATTTCATTATTATTATGTGACAAAATGCCTTCACCAAATCTTACTATTATCAACTTACAAGACGAGTGGACAAACCAAAACAAATTTAGACACACCCAAATCCTTGAATTACACAAAGGTTCATCCACAAGGCGGCCTAAATGGTGACAAGGTTGAGAGATATTTGTTCTTACTATTTATCTGGAAACTTTTTATCAGATATATATCTGATAAGGAAAAGGATGACGTTTTCAATTCCACGTGGACGCCAGGTCGACCTCTGAGCTTAGCTGACGTGTTCATTCGTTTTTGTGTTTTAATTTTAGACGGACAGCTTTGTCTGCCCGTGGGTCATGCTGGGTGAGAGGTCATCGCTCTCCGTTTGCCATCGCGCTTCTACTTCTCCGAGGCTGCACAGTTTCGACGAGCTCTGTTGTCCTGCAATCCTTAATGGTCGCTTCGGCTAATTGACTCTCGGGAGAGAGATCCACTTACTTGCCCATCATCCTTGCTCTTCACAAAAGTAGCTGACTCCTTCAACTTTTGAGAAGGCTAACTTGAGACACCCACCTGAAACCGCACCTGTGAAGTTGAGAAGCAGACATCTCAGCAGGGCGGGGGAAGAAAAGGGTTTGATTCGGTGATGAGCCTCAGCCGTTCATGCTTGACTGATACTGACTATCTAAGTTACAATTGGGTCATGAGAATTCAACGTAAAATTCAGAACAATCGAACTTGGGTGCCTCCTATGACAGTCGTGACGTAAAGAATGTCCAGAGGATGACCGTTGTGGCGTTCCGGAGTCCCACAACCAACTCAGAATCACGTACCTGCGCAAAGTGCGACACCCCAGCCGCAATTGTAGTTCCACAAAGTGCAAAAAGGTGGGAAGTGGCGACATTCAAAAGTGTGTGATGGGAAAGAGTGGTTCACGAATGGATTACATCGGCATGGAATTCGTGATATTCTTCCATCATGGTGGCAAGTGGTAGTTCCTCTTTAGTTGAAACCTGGGCCGCAAGGATACTCCTAATGCATGAAAGAGAGAGTTTAACTTGAGCTGGCCACCAAGGCATGGTAGTCAATGTTTTTGGAGTCACGTTTCCAAGCAACATTGTCAAGATGATTTTGAAGGAACCTCAGACTCAGAAAAGGAGCCTCGGACATGCAAGAAGTGATGCATTTTACTGCGTGCAACACATCATGAGCTACCCTGATGATGAACTCCAAGAGCGGCATGAGCAGGCAGTTAGCGTAGAGATTGCAGGGGCTTCAAATCCCTTCAATGCTGAGGACCCTGAACATTACACAAGAACATTTGGAAACTACCTCATCGCTATATCCTCAAAAACACCTTGCCATGCATTATTCAGCAGCAATCAATCGTCGCCTGCTCAAGAGAAGCAGCGAGGTCAACACTGTTCTCGTGAGACACAATCCTCCAATATCACAGATGACTTGCTTTGCACATGCTGGTGACAAGCCACGGAATCTCACACGCAGCAAGAGAAGATCCTGGTGACAGCGAGCAAGTCGAGCATCAGCGAATACATTACTTGCGAAGGCAGAGGCCCAAGCCACATTTGGACCCTACATCAAACTGCTCGAAGTGGCAGTTGGCATAAGAATCTGAATTTTTAACATGGTTCCACAACCCCACGATTTACTCTCTTTCCACGAAGGAAGGTGTTAGCAATTATGATGAGCCTTTTTTGAAGGGGTTTAGAAGTGGTGAACGTACTAATGGGATCAGAGGGAGTGTGGAAGCTGTCTGACTTTGGAAGCACTTCAACTCACCTGAAGAAATGGGCATTGAAGAAGATTGCATTAGAAAGTTCACAACACCCTCGTCTCGGGCACCTGAGGTGAGCATGAAAATGGCACCTCTTCGCTTGTGATAAGCTTCAAACAGTAAGTTGACAAAGATAAATTACTCACTTTAGGCTCTCACTAGGTATGTGCTGTTAGATGTGGGACCTTTATCAGGAAGAATTGATCATCGAGAAGGTTGAAATTTCGGTGAATGTTTCAATCCTGTAAATTGGGCTTTAGTGACCGTATATCGGCTGCATCATTTACTCGGATCATTTACTTCATTGACTACTTAGCCAGACATTCTTCGTTTCTATCTGTGTCTAGTTTTTTTCCTTTTTTTACTTTCAAGGGAATTTCAACCTCATTGCCTATGAATGGTCCACAATTTGGAAGAGAAATTTGAAACCAACTATCAAATCTATCATTCCTAATTGTCCGTCAACATTTATAGGTAAATTTAAGAGATATATCGACCTCGTTAGTCTGTGTCGCATTTGCCTTCATATTGATATAGTGAGACCAGAGTATATAACTTTGTAAGTATTGAAGAGTTGAGTTTTAAAGATTTCCTCTCCGTTGGGAGAACTTGTGTAGGCGGTTCCATGGAGGCATCAAAGATCCCCAACTCGATTCCATCGATGGTCTCCCATACAACAGTCAAAGAAGTTGATAAGCGCCCAACGGAAGCTGTGGGCATGAAGGTGATGGAGTGTGGGTGAGAGCGGGAAAGAGAAAGAGGGGGAGAAAGGCAGCGGCAAAAACAGAAGAGAAAGAGGGAAAGGTAAAGTTACCACATTACTGAGTAAATAAAATGTGCCATTGCTTCCACTGAGAGTTGAACTCAGGACCTCCCGCTTACTAAACGGGTGCTCTAGCCAACTGAGCTATAGAAGCTATGGAGAAGTGGGGTATCGATCCCCATACCTCTCGCATGCTAAGCGAGCGCTCTACCATCTGAGCTACATCCCCATACACCCTCATCGGATGCTCAGCGGTACACGAATGCCCCCCATATCGCTGTTCACAGCGCACCTAACACCCCCCCACGACACCTCCGCCACTCACCCCCCTCAATCCTCCCTCCCCCCCTCTCGTCTCAACCTAACTCACCACCTCCTCCAAACGCCTTCTTAATTCCACCAATCCCTTCACCCTCCATGCCACAATAGCTGTTAGCTACGGATAATATTCAACTTGAATTGGACATAGCTCAAACACCACTATAACAGGGAAAGAGAACACACACAGAACAAACAAACAAACAAACAAAAAACAGCTTTAGGTTACTGGAATATTTGGAAACGAGCCATACATCTCCTGCATTCTTCTAAAAAGCCCTAAAAAATAAACACCAAAACCAAAACTGGCGTAGGTATTTTACCGACAAAGAGTAAAGAAAATTGCAGGGAATCCGTCTTCCAAGCATGAATTGCTGTCACCACAACGGAGAACATCGCCGAAAGCAGCAGCCATGGCAGTATCAAAGGCAGATACTGGTAGTACATCTTCCATACCGGCACTCTTGTCTCCTCAAATCGGAGCGGAATCCGAGGCGCAGATGGATTTGTGTAGACCATCACTGCTGAGTGCGTTCCGCTTCTAAGAAACACGTAACTGAAACATCAAAAAGTAGCACCCGAAAGGAGCCTTGTAACACCCTAAACCCTAGCCCTAAAACCTGGTAGACACTCATGCCTTCCAATTTAACCCGTCAAATTGGTCTCTGAAAAACTTCGCACAGTCCACAACAACCGTCCTCCGACTAAAAACTATCGAAGGGGCCCACACTCGTCTGCAACAGACAAAGCCAATTGAGTCACGAGGAATTGCAACAATTGGCGCAGGCCATTCCCGAATAGAACCATCGGCCTTCCTGGCCATTCAAAACAACGTCCACCTTCGAACTTGAAACTAGCTTTCTCGAAATGCCCGGTACCTGGCCAGGCGCCCGGCTATAATACCCGGAATCGATGGTCGAGGAATACGGGTATGCTTACGGGTATAAATCCCATGGGGAACGTGCACGGGAGAGCATGAGAACCAGCGGGAA